GAGAGGAGCGGGGAGGGGAGGAAGGGGAGAGAGCCATCTTCAACATCCAAAGTGCTGAAGCTAGCTAGGGTTCAACATGCCACCTCTGTCGTATCTCACATCAACAGGTACCAGTTCCAGCAAAAATCAAACCAATATAATTGCCATGGTGTAAACTATTAAAATAAAAAGAAATAAGTAAGCCGAGTATGCCGTTAGCACACTCGGCTTACAACGCCTGCAGTCATGGAGCCGTCAATTGTGGGGAGGAAGATCACATGGCAGGTACTTTGCGGAGCTACAAATATAAGCCGGGTGATTATTCCTACACCGAGAGCTTTTCGGGAGCACTCAGCTTATACTCTTCTTTACCGAGAGCCCGAAAGTTTACGAGTGTGTTTTCTGGTGCACTTGGCATATACTGTGAGTACTGAGACAAATAACACTCGGCTTAGGTCCAAACAGCGAACGTTTTTCCTGTGGTGAGCCAATAGGTTAGGGGATTAGGCTGGTTACAATCCTGAGGATCAAGGCAAATATTTAGCCCGCCTTATAGATTTGTTCGGTTGTTACAATAGTTAATATTCTCAGCACTTCATCGTGTAGCACTACCAAGCATGTGTTATTATAAATAAACCAGAGTAGAAACTGAAATAAACTTATCTTTATTAAATTTTATTAAGTGTGTCCAGTTTGATAAAGTTTGATTGATTTGGCTAGCTGTTTCATTTCAGTTCTTAAGCTGTCTTTTCTTTTACCATGATATGTTGCCCCTCTGACCGTGTTACATTTACTGAACAATCGAGCCAAGATAGAAAAAGAAACATTTTTCAGGGGGGGAAGTTGGCAAGAATTCACCAAGCACACCTGATCATGTGATGATATCGTGCTCTTTGTTTACTTTGAGCTTGTGCACGTCTTGACCGTTGTTTCTTATAGTACAATGTCAGTACTACAAGAACTGTCTATCCACACTAATAACAAGAAATAGCCTGCGTGGAGCTAATTAAAAGCCTAAAACTGAACAAGTCGTTCACATGTTCCTGAAATTTTGCTGTTGCCCGCAAGAACAAATGCTTTCTTGCAAGATATTGCAATGAATAATTTACAACTGAAAGTTCCAAATTGCAAGAAATTTTCCAGTCGCTGGCAAGAAGAAATGCTTTGCTTGCAAGAAATTGCAATGAACACTTCCAGCCAAGGGGTAGTCAGAATGTCATAGAGTCTAGAACTCTGGATCTGTGGATCACCTCTTTGTGATACACCCTTATCGTTTCTTGCATCAGGACAAGCATCATCACTGAAAGACTGACGAGAGTGAACAATGAACACAACTACTCACCCCGTTCGAAATTACTTGTCGCTCAAACGGATGTTATATCTAGCACTAGTATCAATGTATAGGGACTTTCAGTTTCGTGTTTCAAGGGGTAAGACTGCAAAGCCCAACCCTGAACCAGCAACCGATCTGCCAACCACGTGATTGATGTGCTCCCATATTTTCTGGTTGCCGTCGTCGATATGCATCTCTTCAAGAACCATGGCGTTCTCCGCCAAGAATTTGGCCAATCGCACACCAAAACGGTTGGAGTCGTCCCTCCGGAATCGCAAGCTCACGCACCTCAGGTTACTCTGCAGGCAGGTGAACGACTGTCCAGTCAAGCCATGGATATAATCAGGCACCTCGCACGACATCGTCGGGTTCTTGAATCTGCGGCGCAAGAAATGATTTACAGACTTGTCGAAATCCAGCTGGTCTTTTTCCGCGAAGACGTCTTGTTCAAAGCACCCATCGTCTCCGTAGGATTTGATCTCCAACGTCGTGCTCGTGCTCAGGTTGAGCCGGAGTTGATGAATCACAGGGCAGCAATGGAGGAGGTGCGCCATGGCCGCTCCGGTGTGCTTGCTCCGTCCTGGCTTGTGCTGCGCCTCCAGCTCGAGGCGCTCGAGGTCGCGGAACACTACCTTGTTCTGCTGGAGCCCGTTCGTGTCGCTGCCCGGCCTGAGGTGCTCGAGCTGGTTGGTTTTCAGCCTCAAGACCCTGGCGTTGCTGAAGCTCGCAGCACATTGCCAGAAGCAGGCGCATGTGTTGTTCTCTATGTAGTAATACATGTCAGGGGAGAAGTACTCCATGTCCACTCGCGTGAGGTTTGCGGCTTGTGGTTTTAGCGCCAACGGCTCGCGGAAATTCCCATTGTATTTGAAGCATCGCAACATCGGCGCGTCCAGCTCTACGCCGGTCCAGTTCGTCCAGGTGCAGTCCGACATGACGAGCGCCGTGACGGCCGGGCACCGGAGTTTTGCCGGCGGCTGCGAGCCCTCGTGTGTGGCTGCATCACCAGGAACATCGATCTGGGGTGACGAGAGGCACACGGAGTGGAGGTCCAGGACGGCGAGGCGCGGCGCGGAGTCGACGACGCTCTGGAGATCATGGAGCGGCACGTCGGTGCAAAAGTGCAGCCGCAGCTCCTCCAGCCGCGGGAACACGACTGGGGCGCCGGCCGGGACCTTGAGGCTTGCGCAGCTGGAGATGCGCAGCCGGCGGAGATTCTTGGACGGCAGGGATGCGAGGCTGAGGTCGTAATATCCGCTCTCGCGCCGATCTTCGTACGAGTGGCGACCGACGTAAGCGTCGACGCAGAGCTCCTCGACGGATCGGGCCGCCCGGTGCGAGAGCACGAGGCCCACGATGTCGTCCTTCAAGCCGTCATCGCTGATGCACAGGAACAACTGGATGATGTTGCAATGGTGGCCTTCCACGTGGAAGGTGAGCTTCCTGAGGGGGTAATGGCGGCCGCGGGCAGCGAGAGCCGCGTGGGCATCGCGCACGAAGGCGGCTCGCTTGCCGTACAAATTATCGTCGGGGACGTGGTAGGAGCGCGTGTCGAGGTTGACGGCGCCCGACGAGAGCCACAGTGAGCGCCACCGGCGCGCGAGCGCGCTGGTGGACGCGGCCTCCTTGACAGGCGCGAAGTAGAGGATGCGCCGCAGCAGGTCGTCAGGGAGGTCAGAGATGCGGTCGCCGCCGACCATGGCCGGTCGATGTGTGTGGGAAGCGCCGCGCGTGAAGGGGAACGTAGGTCTTTAGTTTAGGGTTTCGGCAGGCCGACTTGGAATAAGATTCTGCAAAGGAAAACGAGTTGTGTCGTGGCTTAACCGACCTTCGATTTTCTTTCCGATTCCCGGGCTTTAGGAACAGAGAGGCGAACGACCTCGATTCCTGCCGTTAAGCTCCGACCGGTTTTGAGAAGCTTTTGGAAGCTTCCAGTTCCAGCCGGTTTTCTTAAATTTCGTTCAGGTTTTCTTGGGCCGGGTTTTGTTAGGGTTTCCTGTTTTTCTTTCTTTTTATGTTTTTTTTCTAAAAAAGTTTTATTGTTTTCTAATTTTTATACTAGTAGTACTTTTTTTTCAAATTCTGATCGTCTCGGAAAAGGGAGTCACACATGACACAACTGTAATCTGCTATGATAAAAATCTTCCCGTGAATCTGTTACGCAGGAGGAGCAAAGAATATCCTTGTGCTTATTCTGACAGCAAGAATTTCAAAGCCATTTAAAAGTCTATGTAATTGGGTCATGTCCTATCTGTTTTTTAGTAGTTTTCATGCACTCGAAGATCCTATGGGTGTGTTTGGTTAGTAGTTTGGTTGCCTGCATCTGGGCTGGTTACATGAGGGAACTAATTTGGACCCGGCGTTTGGTTGGCTGTGTTGCAGTAGGCGCCGCATATGACACGTTGTTTGGTTGTGATACGTTCATTATGCATCATGTTTTTCCTACTGTTATTTGTATTGTTTCTTTGCCATTATTCCACTTTATGGTGCAATTCTAAAAAAAATTCTCTCTTAATTTGCAAGATTTACATGGAGAGAAAAATTACCGGCAGCTGGAATTCTGGACCTGAAAGAGCTACAGTGGAGATACCTATTCTACAGAGCTCCAAATGACCTGGAACTTCACGGAGATTTTTAATTCAATATAAAAAATATTGGACCAAAGAAATACTAGAAGGGGCTCACCAGTTGCCCACAAGGCAACAGGGCGCACCCTGATGCCTTGTGGGGCCCACAGCTGGCCTCCAGTGCCCATCTTCTGCTATATAAAGTGTTTTGACCTATTAAAAAAATAAGATAAGACTTTCGGGATGAAGCGCCATCGTCTCGAGGCGGAACCTGGGCATGAGCACTTTTGCTCTCTGGCGGAGCAATTTCGTCGGGAGGGGAAAATCAAAGCCATTGACATCACGAACTATCCTCTCATCGTGAGAGGACCAATATTCATTAACATCTTCACCAGCACCATCTAATCTCAAACCCTAGTTTATCTCTTGTATTCAATCTTTGTCCCAAAACCTCATATTGGTACCTGTGGGTTGCTAGTAGTGTTGATTACATCTTATAGTTCATGCTAGTTGGTTTATTTAGTGTGAGAGGAAAATCAAAGCCATTGACATCACGAACTATCCTCTCATTGTGAGAGGACCAATATTCATTAACATCTTTACCAGCACCATCTAATCTCAAACCCTAGTTCATCTCTTGTATTCAATCTTTGTCCCAAAACCTCATATTGGTACCTGTGGGTTGCTAGTAGTGTTGATTACATCTTATAGTTCATGCTAGTTGGTTTATTTAGTGGAAGATTATATATTCAGATCCTTAAGCATATGCAATACCCCTCTGATCTTGAACATGATGATTTGTGAGTAGTTACCTATGTTCTTGAGAACATGTGAGAAGTTGGGTTATAAGTAATCATGTGATGTTGGTACTCGTTCAATATTTTGACGATATGTATGTTGTTTCTTCCTTTAGTGGTGTCATGTGAAAGTCGACTACATGACACTTCACCATACTTGGGCCTAAGAGAAGGCATTGTGGAGTGATAAGTAGATGATGGGTTGCTAGAGTGACAGAAGCTTAAATCCTAGTTTATGCATTATTCGTAAGGGGCTGATTTGGATCCATATGTTTCATGCTATGGTTAGATTTATTTTAATTCTTCTTTCGTAGTTGCGGATGCTTATGAGGGGGGGGGGTAATCATAAGTGGGTTACTTGTTCAAGTAAGAACGACACCCAAGCATCGGTCCACCCACATATCAAATCATATATACATAAGAAGTTGATCCCCACTATCGTATTTATCTCAACATGCACATATGCCACCTCATCAATGGCCCACCACTACATGCATGAGAAAAGGTTTTTCATTATTAGTTGAACTCATTCACACTTTCACCTCACCACACATGCCACATCAGCAAAGATCCACTCAACATGCATGAAAAAAAGTTTTCCATTATGTTATGCCACTAATATTCAAAATATTTTCCGACCGCACAATAATCAAATACGATATAAAATATTTATTTTTAGCTTTAGTTCATATATTATTGATTCAACGATGGAAGCTTCATACAACCAAAATCACTGAAATATATTGCAATCGATTCCCGTAGCAACACGCGGGGTATTCTCTAGTTATCGAAGTAACAAACGGAAATCAACTAAACATGATGAACGTGACTAGACGACAATTCCCATGTGTCCTCGAGAGCACCTTTCTTTTATATAAAAGGACTTTTCGGCTTGTCCTTTTCTATAAAAAGGATTGGACCACCTTGCTGCATCTTTGCTACTATTGCTACTTGCAACCTGTTATGAATTATCTTGCTACAAAACTATCTATCACTGCTACTTTCAGTACTTGCAGAGAATACCTTGCTAAAAACCACTTATCATTTCCTTCTACTTCTTGTTGGGTTCGACACTCTTACTTATCGAAAGGAGTGCGATTGATCCCCTATACTTGTGGGTCATCAGGTTGCAACCTGTATAAGTTTTTGTCACCACTTATCACTAGTGGTGAACTTACCACACACGATCTGAACATTCGGTCAGAACTAGGAAACAAATGACAGTTCGTCCTAACTACTGTCAAATGTCAGTACAAATTATTAAGAGCCATTTGGCTGAATATGGGAGAATTCATCAGTGCTATCCATCCTCTTCCTCTTCCTCTTCAGCTACTGCTACTGTTTCTTTTTCTTCGTGTCCTCATGCTTCTTCTTATTCTCTTCTACTGCTGCTCCTCTTGTTTTTCTTCTTCTTCGGATCCTTGTCTGACCTCTGTTATCCCACATTGTATGTGCCCATTTCATCCTTTTGTTCTTCCAGGCTTCGTTGTTAAATGCCTTCACACCATGGCAGGAGCTGACAACATCATCAGGTGTCACATATCCCTCCTTAGGCATCAGTTCATCACAACCCCATTGCAGGATCCAGTTATGCAGAATGCAATAGGTAAGCACAAGCTTAACCTGGGTGGAGAAAGTGTAGAATGGCTTCTGATCTAGTATCTTAAACCTGTTCTTCAGAGCTCCAAATGCCCTCTCAACAGTAACTCTAAAGCTGGAGTGTCTAAGATTAAATAGCTCATGTGGAGTCCTAGGATAGTTCCTACATCTAGCTAACTCGTTCAGATGGTACTTGGTTTTTCTGAAGGTGGAAGAACACCTGGCCGACATGCATAGCCATCATCTCCTAGGAAGAACTTGCCATTGAGAATGTTGATGCCATCAGGATGACTCATGTTATCAATGAGAATGTTAGCATCATGTGTTGATCCTTCCCAACCAACCATCACATATGTGAACTTTAGATCAAAGTCAACAACAGCAATTACATTCTGGCAAATGGTGCTCTTTTCATTCGAAGCATCGACAAAGCCTCTACGTCGCTGTAGTTGTAGATGTAGTTCACATTCGCCATCCTCTCCTGATCCCGGATAAACATTGGACCATAACGGATGAGAGGCCTCTCCACACGAAGAACAACTCTCTTGTGCATCAACATGAGCCATGCCTGAATCACAACTACCATGCTGCAGCCTGAACTACCAGCTTCATCCGTGCTTCCCGAAGGAAATATGCCCTAGAGGCAATAATAAAGTCATTATTTATATTTCCTTATATCATGATAAATGTTTATTATTCATGCTAGAATTTTATTAACTGGAAACTTAGTACATGTGTGAATACATAGACAAAACAAAGTGTCCATAGTATGCCTCTACTTGACTAGCTCGTTAATCAAAGATGGTTATGTTTCCTGGCCACAGACATGTGTTGTCATTTGATGAACATGATCACATCATTAGAGAATGATGTGATGGACAAGACCCATCCGTAAGCTTAGCATTATGATCGTTACAGTTTCATTGCTACTGCTTTCTTCATGACTTATACATGTTCCTCAGACTATGATATTATGCAACTCCCAAATGCCGGAGGAACACCTTGTGTGCTATCAAATGTGACAACGTAACTGGGTGATTATAAAGATGCTCCATAGGTGTCTCCGAAGGTGTTTGTTGGGTTGGCATAGATCAAGATTAGGATTTGTCACGAAGTGTATCGGAGAGGTAACTTTGGGCCCTCTCGGTAATGCTCATCACTATAAGCCTTGCAAGCAATGTGACTAATGAGTTAGTTACGGGATGAAGCATTACGGAACGAGTAAAGATACTTGCTGGTAACGATATTGAACTAGGTATGATGATACCGACGATCGAACCTCGGCAAGTAACATACCGATGACAAAGGGAACAACGTATGTTGTTGTGCGGTTTGACCGATAAAGATCTTCATAGAATATGTAGGAGCCAATATGAGCATCCAGGTTCCACTATTGGTTATTGATCAGAGATGTGTCTCGATCATGTCTACATAGTTCTCGAACTCGTAGGGTCCGCACGCTTAACGTTCGATGATGATTTGTATTAAGAGTTGTGTGTTTTTTATGACCGAAGTTTGTTCGGAGTCCCGGATGAGATCACAGACATTACGAGGAGTCTCGAAATGGTCGAGTCATAAAGATTGATATATTGGAAGAATATGTTTGGACACCGGAAAGGGTTTAGAAGAGTTCGGACATTTTCCGGAGTACCAGGAGGTTACCAGAACCCCCCGGGAGAGTATTGGGCCTTCATGGGCTTTAGTGGCAAGAGGAGGCCGGCGGCCAGGAGGTGGAGCACACACCCCCTAGCCAAACCGAATTGGACAAAGGGAGGGGGTGTGGCCCACTTTCCTTCTCCCTCTCTCTTTCCCTTCCCCCTTCTCCTACTCCGAATAGGAAGGGGGACTCCTACTAGGATTGGGAGTCCTAGTAGGACTCCCCCTTTTGGCGCGCCCCTCTAGGCCGGCCGCCTCCTCCCTCCCTTTTTTATATATGGGGGCAGGGGGCACCCCAAAGCACAACATACAATCTCTTTACCGTGTGCGGTGCCCCCCTCCACAGTTTAACACCTCGGTCATATCGTCGTAGTGCTTAGGTGAAGCCCTGCGTCGGTAACTTCATCAACACCGTCGCCACGCCGTCGTGCTGACGGAACTCTCCCTCGACCCTCTACTGGATCAAGAGCTCGAGGGGCGTCATTGTGTTGAACGTGTGTCGAACACGGAGGTGTCGTACGTTCGGTACTTGGATCGGTTGGATCGTGAAGACGTTCGACTACATCAACTGCGTTACTAAACGTTTCCGCTTTCGGTCTATGAGGGTACATGGACACACTCTCCCGTATCATTGGTATGCTTCTCCTAGATAGATCTTGCGTGATCGTAGGAAAAGTTTGAATTACTACGTTCCCCAACAGTGGCATCTGAGACAGGTCTATCGCTTGATGCTTATGCAAAACAGTATAGGAAAGATGTCACAAATTTCCTGGAGCTGAGTGCCAAAGAGTTGGTCTCAAAAGGCCGAATGGTTGTTTCCCTAGTAGGGAGGCGTTCTGATGTAACCGCCACCACATTCTCTTACCTTTCAAGAACTATATATCAGATTCTAAGTGTCATGGTCTCAGAGGTATATTTCTTCATATATTATAATACATCATTTCAATTTTGCCATCGAGCGCAAACATTTGACCTCGTGTTTTTATGGTATTCTTAATAGGGTGTGATTGACAAAGAAAAGTTCGATTCCTTTTATGTGCCAGTGTATGAACCTTCTAGTAAAGAGGTGAGAGAGATCATCGAAGAAGAGGGCTCCTTTTCAATCAAGGAGATGCAAGTGCATGACCCTACAACCGATATGAACAATGCTCTCAACACCCCAAGCAAGTTCGTCAATCTCTTGAGAGCTTTATGTGAGCCAATATTAGTACAACATTTTGGACATGTCATGTATGAATTCGTGAGCACCGCGGAGCATCACTGGAGCCTAGAGGGCAACTTGTTAGGTCCTTATGCTATATTGGCCATATCCCTTGCAAAGGCATGATAGTTAGGTACATCAAGGATATGTCCACATTAAGTTACATCATAGTTGATGCGACTGAACAGTAACTTTATTTGGAGCAACAATGTATGGCTACTTCATAATGCAAACTACATCTTGTGGTGTGTTGTGAAGGTATTCATGGATGCACAAAATGAACTATCATTAATCTCTACTATTAAAGGGAAGTTGATAATTGTACGCTTGCCTTCGCCACCATCTGCTCCCCACGCCCACGCCCACGTCATGCATTAACTCAGTCAAATGAAATCTTACCAAAACCTAACCAAATGAAAACTTTCCTTGCCTTCCTCTACCCATACTCAAATCAAATTAAACCTTACCACAACCTTACGTAAAGCAAAACTTACCATTGCTTTTCCCTACCCATACTCGAATCAAAGAAAATCCTACCAAAATCTGGAATATGGTGAGCTTAAGATTTATGTCGAACACGATTGATGTTGAACCATTAGAATATGTATACCCCCGTTCAAACGCACGTGTAATTATTTAGTATTGATTAGCCGAATACTCTTGTCCATGAACTTTCTCAGCTAACTAAGCCTACAGAACATTGTATTATGGTGTATGAAAATTTAGTGTGAGATTTGTGTTATGTATGATTTAGTAATATCTCCAATGAGACCGAAATAACCGAAGATCAAAGTATTCTACGACTATACTTGTGCTTCTCATAATAAGTATTATACATGACAATTACATGATATCCCAACTTATTGCATTTATTTAGTGAAGTTCTTACCACATGGTGAGATCAAGAAATTCATAGAATACAGATTAAGCGCAACTTCATGGAGGGTGCACTCCATAAGGGCATGTACAGGCTGTTTCAAGAGCCATGTTTATCACTCCATGAAGTGTCCCTCCCAATCAGATTTTTAGTGGAAGTTTAGCTTTTCAGCCCTCTCTTTTTTGCTCATTTTCTAGAGGGGGTGAACAGGCGACTATCGGTTTGTAATCAGTTCACTGATTTTAGGGAATTGCTGGCGTGTAAAGATTATCCAAAATGAAACTATGTGATTGAACTCACATGACAAGGTAAGCTTGCAAAAGCAAATTTAACAAGCTAGGTTTATCTCTAAACAAGCAAGTAAACTAGTAAAGTCACACATATAAATAACCAAAGGGAGCATACAGACAACGAGGTTATGCATGGAGTTCAAATCCTTTGGGCGGCAGTGAGGATTCTACTTTCTTCTTGTTGAAAAAGCCTAGTCACGAAGACCTGCCCTCTCTCCTTCAGCTTTTGACACAAAGTCCAAGCTCAACTGGCGGTTCATCTTGAGGTGATCTCCAAATGCATACAGTTCCTAGAGCAAATCCAAAACCTTATACACTTATTCTTCGGTACAACCCCCTAATACAACAACGGCTGAGATCGCTCCATACCCCTTCATTAGAAAGGATAGGATCGTCCCATCACATAAAAAGCTGGTACCCGCACGACGGGGCTGTACCCGCGCGACGGGGCTGTACGTCGACTGCCTGTACACACGGACGTCCGCGTACGTACGACGACGACCAGTCGTGGTCAAAGAAAAAAAAGATGACGCGACCTGTCGAGCGACGTTTACGTGGCGACGTGGTGTCGGCCAGAAGGAAAAAAAAGAAAAAGAAAAAAAATACGACGCGACGTGTGGATGGACGGTTGCGTGTCGTTGTGGCATCGGTCAAGGGCGATTCCCGAGGCGGCCGCCGCTCCCGATGGGCCATTTATGCCGGCGTTAAGACGGGGCGTCGGTCACCTACCCGTCTGCCTCCCCCACCCACCGACGGCCGTTCTTAAATGCTCCGTCCCCTCCCGTCTGCCTCCCCCACCCCACTCGGTGCGCCTCACCCCACTCACCTCACCCACCGACGCACTCCACCGACGACGCGCCCTCTGACGACGTGCTCCCTTCTCGGTGGCCTCCATGGCGTTCGGCGACAGCGGTGGCAGTGACAATAGTGGCGGCTCGTGGCCGACGAGCCTTAGCACGCCGGAGACTGACGAGCTCATCCGGCTCGGGCTGATGGTGTCGCGGGGCTGCCGTCTACCGAACGCCTTCCGCATGACCGCCGACGGGTACCCGACGAGGGGGCCCGGTGCGTCGCCGGATGAGCTCCGCCGGCACAAGGGCGGACGCTGGAACATCGTCGGCCGCACTAAGTTCTGGAAGTGGAAGGACTACTGGAGAGTCGTCGCGCAGGCTCGTCGGGAGTCGCGGACGGGCGGCTCGTCGTCTGCCTCGGGCGGCTCGTCGTCTGCCCCGCGCAGGCCCTGCCGTCCCCCTTCGGCGGCCACGCCGTCTCCAAGCTCTTCCCGCTGTCCGGTACCCACCCTCGCCGGGCCCGCCTCCCCTCCCGCCGTTGAGATACCGCCGGAGCAGTTTGCGTTGCGCGAGGACGGCGACCCCGACGACTGCCCCGGCTACCTCATTGCACTATGGGCGTCGCAGGAAGAAGCGGCGGCCGCGGCGGCGGCCGCGGAGGCCAGACAGGCCGCCGAGCTGCAGGCCGCACTCGACGCCGCGGCGGCTATGGCGGTGGCAGCAGAGGCTGCCGAGCTGCAGGCCGCACTAGATGCGGCGGCGGGCATCGGTGCGGTGCAGGCGCATGCGGCTCCAGTGGAGGACGACGCCGGCGACTGGGACGACGGCGGCAAGAGCAGCGACAACGACGATGGCGACGAGAGTGACGGCGGTGCGGGCGAGATCGTGGACCTCGCCGCCTCCGATGACGAGTAGATTAGGTTTAGATTAGGTCCTGTTATGTTTAATTAATTTCGCTTCGGTCCTGTTTAATTAAAAAAATTATGTTCTAATGTAAAATGAACCGTCGTAAGGTTTAATGAACTATCGTTATGTTGGAATGAAATTTAGATGAAAATTATTATGAAATATTGTGGAAAAGTTTTTAAATTTTGAATCATTTTATAAAATAAAAGTTAGCCGAAAGAAATTCAATTTAATAGTTTACCGGGAAAATTGAAAGAAGAATAAAAATGATATAAAAGAAAAGAAGAAGAGAGGAAGAAAGGAAGAGGAAAAAAAGAAATTAGAAGAGGGAATTTGTAATTATTTTTAAAAAGTTAGTATGAAATAATTTTGATTAATAACAATGTTTTCGGACTGTCGATGCCAAAAACCGTAGAAAATGCAAACAGTCCCAAAATGCACTGAAAATTGGCACGCATGATTCTCATGTAGATACAATGCGATACAAAAATTTGGGCATGTTTGAAGGGTACAGAAAAAAAGGTGTGCCGGACACACCTTTCCACACCGAAACCACCGCCTTCCACACCAAGTACCTGGGTGGTTTCACGGAATGCACCCAATTTTTGGCAGCGCGTGTGTGGCCCTGCCCAGGTACCGCACGCCAGAGATGAACGAAATCCGACAACGAACGCACGTTGAGTCACGTCCGGGCAGTATTTTAGGGGTTTTCGGCCGGGAAATCATAGAAAATCCATAGAGCCTCGAAACGCGACAAATTTTGG